ACGGCGCTGGGGGTACGGAGGCGTTCCCAGCTTGCCGCATGCGCGTGCGAGCTCCACCATCCTCTCCTCCGCCTCTGGTCGCTGGAGGTCAACTTCCTCCTCCTCCGCCGCCGTCTCCGAGCCGAGGGACGGCACCCTCTCGGAGGCGCGGGGATCCGGAAAGGCCTCGGTGCCTGGGTAGAGAAGTGCGGCTTCCTTCGAGAGGCCCTCATTCGCGGCTTCAGCATCAAAACCGTGCCCGGGTGGAAGAATTCCCTCGGTGTGGCCGAGTCGGGCACTTGAAGTAGGCACTTGGCGCGATACATCGCATGCCCTTGCCAGCAGCACGTTGATCTGATTCAGCGCTGTAGCTGAAACATTATCATTGCTCTTCTCGGACTCAGGAGTGACGCTATTACTGCTGCCCTCGACGGCTGGAGCTGGAGCGTCATCAGCCACTGCCCCTTGGGGGTCAATGGTCTTCTTCGACGATGAACGTCGGAGCTGGGCACCTCTTGCAATTGGCGGCACCGAACAAATTGGTTTGACAATTAATTTATAGTACACTATGTCCTTGTGAGCCTTCCACTGCAAATAAATAAATAAATGATAATGTTACTTAGGACCAAACAAAACAAAAAGGGAAGTACGAGACTGCTAATGAGAGAAGTCCAAAAGCATATCAAGTAAACTCACCGGTAATTTGCCGTAAAGCCAGGTCTGGGGGTCAGGACCCCCCTTTTCAATCAAGTCAGCGATGGATATCTTCTTAAGGTTATCATCGGTCATGAAATGGGTTCGAGGGGTCCGTGTATCAAACTCAGAAACTTTCCTCAAGTTGCAGCAATCAAGGTAGATCAAGAGAGGCGCGATGGCGCAGCCTGTGATAGCCTGCCACAAAGCCTTGCCGCTTTGATACCTCACCACCGCTCTCTGCAGCTCATCGACAAGCAGCTGGCAGAAATCCATGTCCGCCATCTTATCAAAATCGAGATATTCCAGCATTGCCGCCTCCCTAGAGACACGTGCGGAGGCCCCCGGGCAGATCACCTTCATGAAAACAACCAAGAAAAAAACCTTGAGCGCCAACTCATCTTTCTCCTTGTCCTCCACCAGCCGCTTAAGCAGACCCCGCAGATCCCTCGTCATGATGATATCAGACCTTTTAAACCCGAGCTCTTGCTTCAGCTTCATCACTGCCTTGTCGTAGCCGCTTTCTGCGGGCCTCGGGGCCGTGTGCCCTCCTTGAGGCAGGCCGAAAAGGTGGTGAATGGCATCGCTAGTGATAGCAACGACCTTTGATTCCCCGAGCTTCATTGTCATGCTTGCTGGGTCTATCTTGCCCATGAGGAAGCCGATGAGAGGCCGGCTGATTAGCCCCCTGACCTTGCCGTCCAGCATGGCGCCGAAGCCTGCCTTGCGGACCCTCGCCAGGTGCCGGTCCTTGAGCAGCTCCGCGCACTCGAAGAACTCCTTGAGCGAGCACCTGATGGTCTTGTTGAATCCCCTCTTAAGCTTCATATTGGCTTCGTTTTCATACACGGTGCCACGAGCTCGCTTCCTCTTGGTGGATCTCTTCACGAACTCGTACTGCAAAAACATTAGAGTGGTCAGAAGAGGAAGTTCAGGACCTGTACATGTGGAAGTACACAAGAGGAAAACCAATGCAACACAGTAGAGGAAAATCACGTTTTTATGAGAAATGTATCTTAGTGATGTGCTTTGAACATGAAAACACGCTACAGGTAGAGACGGTCCACCGTCAGGAATCTGCGAAGATTTGCAACTAAACTAGCAATGTGGGAGTAGAGAGGTATGACCGTTCGAGTAGTAGCATACCTGTGTGGCCGTCGGCGCCTGCTGCGGCCGCAGGCGCGCACTCGAACGGCGCTGGGGGTACGGGGGCGTCCCCAGCTCGCCGCATGCGCGCGAGAGCTCCATCATCGTCTCCTCCGCCTCCGGTCGCCGAAGGTCGACCTCCCCCTCCTCCCCTGCCGTCTCTGAGCCCAGAGACGGCATGCTCTCGGCGGCGCGGGGATCCGGAAAGGCCTCGGTGCCTGGGTAGAGAAGTGCGGCTTCCTTCGAGAGGCCCTCCTTCGTGGTTTCAGCATCAAAACCGTGCCCGGGTGGAAGAATGCCCTCGCTGTGGCTGAGTCGGGCACTTGAAGTAGGCACTTGGCGCGATAGATCGCATGCCCTTGCCAGCAGCACGTCGATCTGATTCAGGGCTGTAGCTCCAACATTATCATTGCTCTTCTCGGACTCAGGAGCGATGCCATTACTGCTGCTCGCCATGGCTGGAGCAGGAGCGTCATCAGCCACTGCCCCTTGGGGGCCAATGGTCTTCTTCAACGATGAACGCCGGAGCTGAGCACCTCTTGCAATTGGTGGCACCAAACAAATTGGTTCGACAATTAATTCATAATACACTATGTCCTTGTGAGCCTTCCACTGCAAAAAAAAAAAGCATAATGTTACTTAGAACCAAACAAAACAAAAAGGGAAGTACAAGACTGCTAATGATAGAAGTCCAAAAGCATATCAAGTAAACTCACCGGTAATTTGCCGTAAAGCCAGGTCTGGGGATCAGGAACCCCCTTCTGAATCAAGTCAGCGCTGGCTATCTTCTTAAGGTTATCAACGGTCATGAAATGGGTTCGAGGGGTCCGCGTATCCAACTCAGAAACTTTCCTCAAGTTGCAGCAATCAAGGTAGATCAAGAGGGGCGCAATGGCGCAGCCCGTGATACCCTGCGACAAAGCCTTGCCGCTTTGATACCTCACCACAGCTTTCTGCAGCTCATCGACAAGCAGCTGGCAGAAATCCATGTCCACCATCTTATCAAAATCCAGATCTTCCAGCATTGCCGCCTCCCTAGAGACGCGCGCGGAGGCCCCCGGGCAGATCACCTTCATGAAAACAACCAAGAAAAATACCTTGAGGGCCAACTCATCTTTCTCTTGGTCCTCCACCAGCCGCTTAAGCAGACCCCGCAGATCCCTCGTCATGATGTTATCAGACCTTTTAAACCCGAGCTCTTGCTTCAGCTTCATCACTGCCTTATCGTGGCCGTTTTCCGAAGGTCTCGGGGCAGGGTGCCCTCCTTGAGGCAGGCCGAAAAGATGGTGAATGGCGTCGCTGGTGATAGCGATGACCTTTGATTCCCCGAGCTTTATTGTCATGGTTGCTGGGTCTATCTTGCCCATGAGGAAGCCGATTAGAGGCCGGCTAATGAGCCCCCTTACCTTGCCGTCCAACATGGCGCCGAACCCCGCTTTGCGGACCCTCGCCAGGTGGCGGTCCTTGAGCAGCTCCGCGCACTCGAAGAACTCCTTGAGCGAGCACCTGATGGCCTTGTTGAACCCCCGCTTAACCTTCACATCGGTTTCATTTTCATACGTGGTGCCACGAGCTCTCTTCCTCTTGGCGGATCTCTTCACGAACTCGTACTGCAAAAACATTAGAGCAGAACGGGAAGTTCAGGGCCTGAACATGTGGAAGTTCAGAAGAGGAAAAACCAATGCAACCATTCTAGCCCCAATCATTTTTGACGAGAAATGTATCTTCTTATCAGTGTGCTTTCATAAACACATGCTCCAGGTTGAGACGGTCCGCCGTCAGGAATCCGCGAAGATTGCAACTGAACTAGCCATGAGGGACTGAAGAGGTTCAGAGTAGCAGCATAGCATACCGGGGTGGCCTCCGGCCGCCGCAAGCGCATGCTCACACGGCGCTGCGAGGACGGGGGCGTCCCCAGCTTGCCGCACGCGCGTGCGAGCTCCATCATCCTCCCCTCCGCCTCCTGGCGCTGGCGATCGAGCTCCATATCGGCTTCGTTTTCATACGCGGTGCTACGAGCTCTCTTCCTCTTGGTGGATCTCTTGACGAACTCGTACTGCAAAAACATTGAAGCGGTCAGAAGAGGAAGCTCAGGGCCTGTACATGTGGAAGTTCAGAAGATGAAAACCCCAAATCTGTTTTGGATGAGAAAAAATGGTATCTTGTCACATGATCCAGGTTGAGACGGTCCACCATTAGGAATCCGCGAAGGTTCCAACCAAGCTAGGGATGTTGGACTGAAGAGGTTCGGACTGAGTAGCGGTATGGCGTACCTGGGTGGCCGGCGCCGGCGCCGGCGGCTCCCGCGGCCGCAGGCGCGCGCTCGAACGGCGCTGGGGGGACGGGGGCGTCCCCAGCTCGGCGCACGCCCGCGCGAGCTCCATCATCCTCCCCTCCGCCTCCTGCCGCCGGCGGTCGGCCTCCTCCTCCTCCTCCTCCCCCGCCGCCGTCTCCGAGAGAGACGGCGGCATCCTGCCGGCGGCGCGGAGATCCGGCGAGACCTCGCTTCTTGGGGATGGACGCGGCGGCGCGGACGGCCGGCGTTGGGTGCGACGGATTTGGGGATGGAAGACGACCGACCTGGTCGAGTCGAGTGTAGCTCTGCTCTGCTCTGTTTTTTTAGATCAGAGTGCAGCTCTGCTCTGTTGGACTGGCGGGCCTGGGCCTGGGCCTTGCATATTTAGCTGCCCAGCCCATTAGCATGTAGCGGGCCTTAGATTTTACTAGTAAAAAAACATCATTATGTTCTAAAAAACATGATTTACTCAGAAAACATCACATCATTAAAAAAAACTCAGAAAAATCGCATGAAAACATCATGTAAAATTCATGCACTTGTGAATGAATCTTAGGTAGTTGATTCAGCAGACAGGTCACATGAATGAAAATAACATAATTAGCTCCGACGATCTTCTCCGATTAGCGACGCCAAGTTGCTCAAAATACCTCTTTTAAGTACACATAAAAACCACCTTCAGCAGATAATGCGAACTAACAACATCGTTGAGTTACAGTAATGGTTCAAGATTGGAGACGAGAACATCAATCAGCAATTCCACTAACAAATTCACGGAGGGTCAATCTTTCCTTTCTCATGCCTCGCTCACTCCATCGATCTGCTATCCTAACATTCTTCGGTATATCAAAATTCCATTGGCTTTATTTTTCTTTCTTTGGTTGGTCTATAGAGGGATGACCTCGACGTCGTCGTGGTCGCTCTTGCGCGCTTCCAGCTCAGCCCTATTCGATGCTCCATTGGTCTCCGGGTTGGCAGGGGCAGGGGCGGGGGCGGCGTGGTTCTCTGACATGCTCATCTCTTGCACGGGGGGCGGGTTGACGACGGTCATGGGCATGGCGCTGTGGTCGGCCAGGCGGCCTCTCCTCTCGCGGTGCTCCTGGCAGTTGGCGCACCAGTGCAGGCAGCAGTGGGCCATGCATGGGTCGCATGGGGAGTTCTGGTGGAAGAAACACACTGGTCGTTACATCACTGATTATATTAAGGACAAATCACAGGAGGTGCATACAGCTACAGATCAAAGTGGAGAACTCAAAGACTAGCATGAGAAGATCAGACAGAATGCAGTTTACATGGACAGGTACCCAGAGCTAGCATGCTGGTGACTGGTGACAAGAATGGCAACAGATAACATCTATACATCGAGCAAACTGCATACAGAGTTCTATCCAACGATTGTTGCAAGGTTGACGTGCGACACTACACCACAAAGATCACAGAGAAAAATCAGATCAACTACACAGCCAGCTTTTGGGGACCATATCAATGATGTAACTTAAAAGCTAGTCAGCATCTACAAGCATTTTTTTTAAGGACTCGCAGAGGGCCCCCAAATATGGGCACATAAATTCAGGATGCCACAAATTGCCTACACAGTCCAGTAATCACTATTTAAGAATGGTACTTCGATATGCATATTGATGCAAGAGTATGTGACACAGCAAAGGTAGCAGCGTAGGGATTTAATATTCTAACCTTGAGATGATATCTCTTCTGGAGTTCTTGACGGAAAATGCCAGTATAGGTACCACACAGCCACCAACTAAACACCAGACCTTCTCCAATAAGAAACGATGATCTTGGGTCAACACCATGAAATATTGCTGTCAGGATTGCAAGTGTAATCCCTCCTTCCACAAAGATAGCATGGCAAACACAAGGCGTTGTCCAAGGGATATCCTCTCTGAGGGCCTCAACGTTGCGCCCAAACAGCACGCAAGGACAGAACAATCCAGTGCGACCTGGCATGATGAGAAGGCAAAATCTAACAGTTAGATATTATTTTATCAGCAGGCTTTATCAGAACAGAATATTCTAGATATGGCCATCGTCAATGGACACAGTCAAGAATGAAGTGCAGAGCAACAAATATTAAGCTTATGTTTAACTACTCAATATGTTCAGCTTTGAATGTTCCAATAAGAAAGATGCACATGAAACTGCTGAAAAGTGAGAACTACTATCATGGCAAAGTATATTAGACAGCAAGAGGATAAACTCAGTTAATAATGAAGTAAATGATAAAAAAGGACACTAAAGGTATGAGAAATCTTCGCAGTCTTCTCTTATGTTCAAGATGGGCTGTGAATATGTATACAAGAGCAAGAGTACAACAAGTAATAACGAAGCGACATAACATAAAAGTAGCAAGAATTTAAGCAAAAGTACACTATTCAACATTAGACATGAGTTTAACCTGGAACTCGTATCATAGCACAAAGTTGAAACCAGAGTGACTTGGTCTATCGGTGAAGAGGTAGGTGGACAGCTCTTCACAAAAAAGCAAAACCATATACTGCTTGCAGACTTGCAGTATTGGTGAGAAATAATTCCACTCAGAAAAGAGAATACTGGAATCCAAAATTTGTTCCGTGGTTTATCAGAAACTAGCAGTATTTTTACTCCAATTCATTATCACCACACAAGGAAAGCATGAAGTAGGACTGTAAAAGTCCAATGGCAATATCAAACACAACAAAAGTATCCCAATGGCTATGACAATGTTTTGATCCCAAATATACTGAGCTACAAATGTATTGCTCTGAAATCACCACATTCAACCAGCAAGTCCACATGAACCTGTGAACCATTTTTGGCATATCTGATACCGACAATTGGCATCACTTGACTCTTTTATATCGCTAAACAGTCGACCTGTCCCTTGCATGCATGCACATAAGCAGCAGGTACATACAGATACAGTTCCGTGATCCCAAGGAGTATAAGACCTACTGTAATAAATTCCAGCACCATTAACCGCAGCACAAAATCAGGCATAACCCCAATTCAGCCCTAAAAATTTATCCAGACTAACAACGTAGCGATTAGATCCACCGATCCCTGTTTTTTTCTCTATTAACAGCTTGTCTGAATTATGCGCGCCGTCGCCTTGAACAGCATGAATCGAAGGACAGGGGAAGGAACCAACACGGGGCGCCAAAATCAATGAACTCATACCATAGAGGATATGGTGTCTCAGTGAAGTCATACTGTAGGAGATCTCAGGCAAGCATGATCCATTCCATCATAAGAACTCGAGACTATTGACCGAAATGTTGGCACCCAATTAAACATGCGAGGCCACGAATCTGGCACGGGAGGCGCGGCGCCGCAAGGAATCAAAGCAGCGTCGTTGACTCGCTAGAGTAACCGTGAAGGATGGGACGGGCGGAGGGGGAAGGAAAGGGGGGTGGCGAGAAGACGTACAGCTCTCGGGGTCGTCGGTGCACCCGAAGATCCCGGTGGACCACGGCTCGTCGGCGGGCGGCTCGTAGCTCTCCGGGAGGACCTGGCCGCACTCGCCGCACCTCCGGCCCTCGAGCTGCAGCAGATCGGATCGGGCAACGGGGTGAGACGACAGGAGCGCGGGACGAGAAGGAGAGGGGGAAGAGGCGCACCTGGGGGACGTGGACGGGCTGGTTGAGCTCGCCGGGGCGGATGTCCTCGCCGGGGGCGTCCTGGTCCTTGGTGAGCTTGACGTAGCGGGACGGGTGGCCCTCCTCCGCCATTGCTTGCCGGCGGCGGCGACCCGGCGGACACTGCTAGAGTAGTCGAAGAGAGGCAGCCAGATCTGACCTGACCGGGAAGGGGACACGACGCGCTTCCTCTTTGCGTCTTTGGCTTTGGCTTTGGGTTTGGGGGGTTTCACAGACACACGCCTATACGAATATAAAAATCTCTATCTGTATAATATTCTCTAAAGTAGTGAAATGCGACCAAAATCCCAAGGTGGACACACAAAATCCAGAGTTCTAAAACCTGGTGCACGTATTTATTCTGAATTTATTTCAGGATTTCCGACGATACGCATTCAACGGGAGGAGACGTTTCCGTCGACTACGAGGCGTCTACGGTGGCTTCGTGAAATCTCAAGACGACATGTCGGCTCAGTCTCTTGGAGGTGCTTATAAGGATAGGCTGTGAGTGTGTGTGCGTTCATAGGGGTGAGCATATGCGTGTATATATAAGCGCTTGCGTCTGTACTGTGTTTAAAAAAATGAAAACGAAAACGAAAAAGATAATGACCGAACGTCAGAATTTTGAGCCCGAAGACTATTTTCCTATCCGATGTTGCTGCACTGATCACGGTGCAGGGTGCTCGCCATGTCAGCTTGTGGAGCCGTTCCCTCCGACAACGACCTCGTACGAACGTCCTCCGTTTCACTCACCTCCGCCATTCCTCGCTTCCTTATCCTCCGTCTCCATCATTCAACATCAATCGCTCTGGTCGATGGTCGTCGCTCGGGTCGCCGACCTTCATCATTCTCCTCTGTAATCTCTCTCTCTCTCTCTCTCTCTCTCCCTCTCTCTCTCTCTCTCT